CTCAGGCTGCTGGATCGTCCTCCTGCCAAGTTGAAGCAGTTGAAGCCAGCCCTCACACTTTGCAAAACCAAAAACAACCGACATAGAGTAATAATATGTTGAAAAGGACAACATAAACAACAAACACACTCTGACATTGGTTTGCTATTACTCTATTCCCAGGTCGAAAAAAGATGAGGGAACGGAAAGGTGGAAGGTCAGAAGACTTGAAGGTGTTTGAACAATTGTTTGGTGCAAATCTGCAGCTCCTATGCATTAGCCGCTTTACTGAATACCTAGCAGACCGCCTATGCATTAGCCGCTTTACTGAATACCTAGCAGACACGGAACGGCGGTTTAAACAGTTATTACAAATGCAGGTACGTTGGGTCTCAGAGGAGGTCTTCGTTGGCCACCGCTCCTCTGGGACCCCGGTGGCCCCCTGTTTCTTTTTCTTTTTCTTTTTCTGCACCCCTGTCCCTGCCTCTTTGTTCTTGATTAGTAGCGATGCCCTTGGTTCTAGCGGCTTCTTGTTCCTAGTAGCGATGCCAGAAACCATTAGTAGCATCGGGCACGAACCTTGGAAACAGGTGTTGACACACACGTTATGCCGCAATCGGCGCTCTGCACCCCCTGCGTTAAACAATTTTGCTCAGCAGCTTTGTACACACAACGCCGATAGCTGCGCGCCGGAAGATTACTAGTCACCTAAAAAGCTTTAGAAAGACAAACAAAGAAAAACAGACAGAGAAACGAAGAGGGCAAGAGAGAAAGATAGGGGTAGTTACGAGGCCGACTAGTTACGAAGCCTGTTAGTTACAATACATGCAGTAGCTAGCGAGCGGGACTTTTGTCTTATGCCGCCCGGGTAGCTAGAAGTACCCTGAGCATCGTATCTTGATTAGAATCAATATTTATTGATTCTGAGATATTGATTTTTCTCATATTGATTAGAATCAATATTTTCTCTTGATTTGTTTATTGAATTTTTTTTTATTGATTTGTGTATTGATTTTTGTATTGATTTTCTTATTGATTTTTTTATTGATTTTCTTATTGATTTTCTTATTGATTTTTTCTTGATTTGGACAGCCCTGTCTGACATTATTTTTGCATGTGCGTCCAGCTGCTCAAGAGACAGAGAAAGCAAGACAAGATCTCATAAATACGGAGTCTTGGAAAAGACCAGTTGGTCTTGGAAAAGGCCAGATGTCTGGCAGAGGTGGGGCCAGGCACCATGCCAAACCCTTTGTGGATTCAGGGATCCTCTGCAAGTGTTTGGAAAAGCATGAGGGGATCCTCTCAGATCTGGGTGGGTATGAGCATGTCAGCATTACACAGGCCCCAGATCCTAAAGGGTTGGTGCACTGCATGCCCTTGTGGAAGGAACTGGTGCTGGAGAGATCCATGGCCAGCCCTTGAGGGCTGCCATGCTGTCGCTTCTGACTGAGAGGCCAGAGCTCAACAAGAGCAACCACTCAGGTGCTGTGTGGGTGAACCTGAAGCTGCAAAGGCTCACATGCCTTTTGGCTCATGTGCGCAAAGTTGCGGGATGCCAGCTGTTTGAGCCCCATTGCTGCCAAACTGAACAGGCAGGAGTACACCATGTTGTTGGATAGCTTAAAGCTCCTGGAGCTGCCTCCCTTCGAAAAGGGAGATGGGGCAAAGGAAACAGACATGGTTGTCTTGGAAAAGGCAGAGTCCCTACCAACAGGCTTGGAAAAGCAAAGCAAGAAGGGGAACCCACCAGCACCAGCCTTGGAAAAGGCAGGGAAAAACAAAAGGCTGAAGCAACAGAGCAGTGATGTCTCTATGGATGCTTTGGGCTACCCTGTAATGTTTGCAAGTAGCCCAGAGGACCTTGGAAAAGGTCCCTCCCTAGGGAAGCTGCCAGTGAGCAAGCAAAGGCCTGGGCACAGGCTTTTTGCAGAGGCTGAAGACTTGCAAAATGCCCTGGGGTATCGACCAAGTTCTTCAGCTGGGCCTGGCTTGGAAAAGCCAAAGGCAAAGGCCAAGGGAAAGGCCAAAGCCAAGGCAAAGGCCACTGCAAAGACAATGGCCAAGAAGCCTGCAGCCTTGGAAAAGGCTTGCAGGAAGCCTTGGAGAAGGCTGAGGATGACATGTGCCAAGAAGCCTGAGAGGGCATACCTGCAAGGCTCCACAGATGGTGGCAAGCTGCACCTCATTGTTGAATGCTCAGCAGCCAGGTGTGCCCAGTACCATGGAGTGATCTCCAAGATCAAGGCAGCCTTGGAAAAGGATTGGCTGACCAAGGATGAGGCAAGGCAGCTCAGGGAAGACCTGTGCCACAAGCATGGCTGCTGAACAATGGGATTCTTGCAAAAGAACCCATGGTGCTTTGGAAAAGGTACCATGCATGGTTCTTGGAAAAGGACCTGTAGGAACTTGTAGGTAGGGTCCTTGGAAAAGGATATGTAGCCCAGCATCCTCAAAAGCAGGATTGCAGTTTTGGTGTGAAAGGAAAGGAAAAAGGGTGGAGTGTGCAATGGGAGCATGGGCTTGGTTTTGGTGCATGAGTTTGGTGTTCAACTATATAGGTTGAAACAGTGTCTTGGAAAAGACACTAAAGGGTTGGGCAACCTGGTGTATAGGTTGGGCAGCTGTTGTGTTTTAGGTAAAATGGTATGTTTTGTCTGCAGCCTTTCTGGCTTGAGGGCTGCACTCAGCATCAGCTGAACAAACCAACAGTACCACACTCCAACAGCACCACACTGATAGGACCACATAGTACACCCATGGACACTGCACTGGACAACAGCTACACCCCATATTAGAAGTAGTTGGCAGCATAACAGCTACACAGTAAACACTCCAAGTTAACCACAGGTCAGCAGCGTAGTAGGTCGGTAGCTAGGGCCATAGCTGCTGCTGCTTTGGCTTGGGAAAGCCAAAGCTCTACCTCGGCTTGGAAAAGCCTTTGTTTGGCTTGAGAAAGTCATCCAAGGCTTGGAACAGCCTTCTGGCTTGAGAAAGTCAGACATTTGGCTTGAGAAAGCCAAATGTACAAGTATGATGCAGACTGGGGGGTGTGAGTCTGGCATGATGAAGCGAACAAGAAGAGGAGGCCAAAGGGCTCAGGCACCACCACCCCTGAGCTAGTTGGAAAATGCAGACCCCAGCTCCAAGAAGTGCTTGGAAAAGCACAAGAAGGCTTTGGAAGAAGCCATGAAGAGGTGTGAGGCCCAGCTAGCCTCAGTGAGCAGCTCCAGCTCCAGCTCCTCACTCAGCAGCTCCAGCTCTGATGAGGAGCAGGGTGCCTTGGAAAAGGCACCCCAGCAGGCTGGCACCTTGAAAAAGGTTGCCAAGAAGAAGCCTGCAAGGAGGAGCTCAGCTGCTGCAGCACCTGCCAGGGCTGCCAGCAAAAGAAGAGGCAAACAGGGCCCCAGAAAGATGGCAGTGGAGGAAGATTCCTTGGGAGTCGACAACACTGCCAAGTCCTTGCAAAAGGACAAGGGCCCTGAGCAGCCTGCCCCCACCTTGGAAAAGGAAGGGGATGCTGCAGCCCTGGAGGCCTTGGAAAAGGCAGTGGAGGAAGGGACCTGGACATTGGTGGAAAACCGATGGAAGAAGGGTCCCAAGGCAAGAAGACCAAGCAGAATTCCTTGAAAAAGGAAGAGGCACCACTGCGGGGCAGGGCTTGGAAAAGCCTTTGCCAAAGAAGCCTGTAGTGGTTGTCGACTGGCACAACACCTTGGAAAAGGATGATGATGTCAGTGGTGACAACTTGAAGACGTTGTCATCACTGATGGAGAAGTGCCAGGTCCACATTCTCTCCTATGCGCAGAGCACACAAAGAGAGAATGAAGTGCTGGAGGCTCCCGCAGAGGCCAAACCTGCATGGGATGTCTACCACATGGGTGCAGACTGGCAGGGGTGGCAAGTGTGACCTTGCCTGGAGGCAGGGGGCCATTGCCATCTTTGATGATAGCCCTGCTATCATCAAAGAGTGCAAGGAGTGGGGCCTGGAGGTGTATGCCATCCAGACCCACAAGGAGGCCCATGCATACCTTGGAAAAGGTGAGGTCTTTGCCACCTTTGCAGATGCTGCCAGGGCATTCAGCTCAAGGCACCTTGAGCTGCCAAGGCCCTAAGGAAACTTGGAAAAGTTTCCTGCAGCAATGGCCCCTGAGAAGCTTGGAAAAGCTCTCAAAAGCAGCTTGGGAAAGTTGCCAGGCAGCTTGGGAAAGCTGCCAGGCAGCTTGGAAAAGCTGCCAGGCAGCTTGGAAAAGCTGCCAGCAGTTTGGAAAAGCTGCCAGCAATTAGCTATGCATGCATGCCAGCTGCCTGGGCTGCAGTGTGGTGAACCATGTATAGAAACCTTATCTAAGAAAATTCATGTCAAACATGGTATGGTTCAAGAAGTGTATAGTGTTTAAACCTGGTGTGTTTCGTTTCTGCAGCCCAGGCAGTTCAGAGCCAAAAGATGTTTCACCTCCATGGGTCTTGGAAAAGATCCATTGATGAGTCTTGGAAAAGACTCCTGACTGTACAGAAAGTATGGAAATGAAAATTGATATTAAACATATGTTCATTTTAAATATATAATATATTCATTCTGTATACGTTGAAGAACATATGCGTTTAATTTTAAAAATATATGTTTGTGGGTTAGAGTTATAAAGGGTCATATGGGTTAGGGTTTAGGGTTTTAAGGGTCAGGGTTGAGGGTTAAAAGGGGCAGGGTTTAAAGTTTTATCATCAGTGATAAGGTTCATGCATCTTTTTCACCTGTGAATGCTAAAAAAATCCAAACTTTGTAAAAACTCGTCAAATCTTATCAAAACTCGTCAAATCTTATCAAACCTCGTCAAATCTTATCAAAACCATGATTTCATAAGATTTCATAAGGTTTCATAAGATGTGATAAAAATGAAAAATCAGTAAAAAAATAAAACCAACCTGGAAGGAAACAGAAATGTCTACAATAACTCAAACATTGTGCATCTGCAGCAATTTCAGGCTTCAAGCAAGGTCTAGAAGGTTGTAGCAGGGTGTCACCCATGGCACCAAAGAAGGTTATGAAGGTGAAGAAGCTGGGCTTGGAAAAGCTCAGGAAAGTGATGAAGGCAGGCAAGGCCAAGGCCAAGGCCAGCTCTTCCAAAGGTGCCTTGGGAAAGGCTACCTCTTCCAAAGGTGCCTTGGAAAAGGCCAAGGGCAAGAAGCTCAACAAGTCCAACTTGGAAAAGTTTGGCCAAATGAGCTTAAAGGATAAGATAGCTGCTGCCTGTGAAGAGGGTGATGGCCTGGAGGCAGCAGCTGAAATTCTCAAGGGCAGCCTCACTAAGGATGAGCACAGCCAGGTGTGGGGCAAACACCAAACTGCCCTCAAGAATGCATCTGCCTTGGAAAAGGCAGAGCATGCAGCAAAAAGCAAGAAAGAGCCTTGCTGCTGCTCTCTGGCTCCTGGAAAGAGAGGGCAAAAAGTACATGACTGCCCAGAAGAAAGTGAAGGCTTCAGAGCTTTGGAAAAAGCAAGACAAGTGGAGCACAGAGAAAGAGATGCTGGCCAAGTTCTCGGAAGAGGAACTGAGCATGCACCTGAGGTCAGGCAGAGTGGTGTGGCAGGAAGACCCCAATACATGGGGGTGCTTCCAGTACAAAGACATGGCAGACTGGTCAAGAGAGATCAAGACCAGCAGGGGAAAAGAGTGGCAGCATGGTTGTGAGTTTGAAGGGGGTGCAGAGGACTTGGAAAAGTTCTCTCAGCCCTACAACCAGGATGCCTCCAGGCTGTCCACACAGGACATTGCTGACACCCCTGCCAAGGGCCTTGGAAAAGGCAAAGGCCTTGGAAAAGGCAAGGGCAAGAACAAGCCTGCCCTCCTGGCCCTCAAAGACAAGGAGGAGGAGGAGGAGGCAGAAGAGGAGCCAGAGGAGCCTACAGAGGAGGATGAAAGATGCCTTGAAAAAGGCAAGGAGGGCAAGGGACCAAGTGGCCTCCACCCAGGCAGACTTGGAAGAAGCCTTGGAAAAGGCAAAGTCCGCACTCTCAAGGCAGGGCAAGGCAACTGCATCTGGCCTGAACATGGAGCTTGGAAAAGTTCTAAGCCAGCTGAAAGTGGTCTTGGCTGGCAAAGGGAAGGCAGCAACAGACAGCAAAGCTGTCAAGAAAGTGCTGGAGGAATCTGCAAGGGTGATAAAGGCATCCAAAGAGGAGGCCAAGGAGCTGAGGCAGCTTGGCAACAGGGCATGCTCTGTAGCTGCCAGTAAGAGGTCTAGAGCTTGAGAAAGTTCTGGCTGCCATCTTGGAAAAGATCAGAAAGCCTTGGAAAAGGTTTTCAGGCCTTGGAAAAGGTTTTGTAGGAAGCAAGCATACTGACCAAAAGGGTCAGCATGCCAGTTTTGACTCAGTGCAAGGGAGAGATGCAAAAAGAGTGTGTGGTGCAGGGGGTAGTGGTGGCAATGGTGTTGGTGGGGTGCTGGGTTTGTGCGTGTGGTGGTGTTGTTTTGCAGCTTTTTGGCTTATGAAGTGTGAAGGAAGTAGATTAAGATTGGTCTTGGAAAAGACTACTGTGAAGGTCTTGGAAAAGACATGGCTAAGAGGCTGAGAGGGTGGCAGTTGGAGATGGAATCTGGTACCAAAGAAAAGTGCCTTGGAAAAGGTACCACAATCTGGGTTGGCCAACAAACTGCTTGGCCTGTGGGCCCATGGGATCCTTTCAGCTGTGATGGTGAGGGATCTTGCAGATCTGGACATCCAGGATGGTGCATCACACCCAGAGCTGCTAGCCTTGGCAAAGGCTGGGGGATGGGGTGCGCAACCTGGAAATGCACACAGGCAGATCATGAGCACTTTTTGTCCACAAGTGCAGCTGCCAGATGGCTTTTCTGTGAGTGTGTGGACCCTAAGACTTCCTTGGAAAAGGAAAATAGTGCATCAATCTTTTTGCCACACCAGGTGTTTGCTCAGCTGGGTGAGCATTATCCAGCTTTCTTCCAAGAACAATTTGGTCTTGGAAAAGACAAATTGAGAGAATTCTGGTCATATGCCCAGAAGGTTGGGGATGCACTGGAAGGATAAGTGCATTCCACTATTCCTTCATGGCGATGGAGTTGAATACCATTCCAGGGGTAACCTCATGGTATTCTCTTGGGGTAGCATGCTTGGCCAAGGAGCATCGCTGAAGCAACATTGGCTCCTGGCATGCTACCCCAAATCATGTACTTGTAAAAGTACATGGCATCCCATATGGAAATGGCTGAAGTGGTCATTTGAAGCCCTTGGAAAAGGGCTTCATCCCACCACAGACCCAGATGGAAAGCCCTTGGAAAAGGGCTCAGTGTTCTCTGCACAGGCTGGAAAGCCTTTGCGCCATGGATACAGAGCTTATGTCTGGGCAGTGATGGGTGATCATGAGTTCTATTCAAACACACTTGGTCTCCCACACTGGGCAAGCCATTATCCTTGCTGGGAGTGCAATGCACAGAATTGGGCAGGTTGTGACCCCACACTCCATTACAAACAGATTTGCTTGGAAAAGCAGCAGTTTGAAGTGGACTCCCACCATGCACATCTGGCAGACCCATGGAGTGATCATCCAGTGTTCCAGTTGCCACATGTCTCCTCAAGAAATGTGCGTGGTGACCCCATGCATATCCTATTTTGCAAGGGGTTGTACGGGCATTTGATTGGCAGCATTTTGCATTATTTATGCTACCATGAGGGCCCTGGGTAAGGTCACTGTCAAGAAGCCTTGGGAAAGGCTAGCCTTGATATTTGAGGAAATCCAGGGGCAACACAAGCTGCAAGAATTGGAGCACAGGCTAACCAACCTGAAACTCTCCATGTTCACTGATACAGCCAAGCCCTGGGCCAGCAAAGCATCCCTAGACTGCAAAGCTGGTGAGGGTAAGCACTTGTTGCCTGCTTTTGTCCCAGTCTTGGAAAAGATATTCCAAGGGACAGCAGAGCAAAGTGAACTAAAGATGCTCCAAGCAGCCTCCAGCTTGGAAAAGTTGGTAAGTCTGTGGTGTGGTGCTGAATCTTTTCTCTCCACCCAGCAATTCAACAAATCAATGGCTCTTGGAAAAGAGTTCTTGGTCGCATACCCCTTGGAAAAGGGCAGGAATTCCTTTGCTATAGTGGCCAAACACCACACTTTCATCCATCTACTGTGGAACAGCAAATTCATGAACCCAACTAGGCATTGGTGCTTTCTGGGTGAAGATTATGTTGGCCACATGAGCAAGCTGGCCCACTCAGTGAGTTTTGGAGTGTCATCTACCAAACTCACCACAAAAATATCCCCCAAGTACAGGGTCTTGGTCCATCTCCTCCTGACCAGAGATGTGAAGCAAGATAACCTGTCAGATCTTGAAATCTGATCTTGGGGGCGAGGCTTGGGAAAGCACATGGGCCAGCGCCTTGGAAAAGGTTTGAGGGTGACTTGGAAAAGTCCATGAAAGGCTTGGAAAAGCTTATAGTACACATAGCAAAGGGAAAGGCTTGGAAAAGCTTGAGCCAAAGGCTTGCAAAAGCTTATAGTGCACATAGCTTAAGAAAGGCTTGGGAAAGCTTATAGCAAAAGAAAGGCTTGGAAAAGCTTAGTGTAGAAAGACTTGGAAAGGCAGCTTCACCATGGAAAAAATGAGCTTCACCTATGGTTTTGCTGGGTTTTCTTTTTGATTTTCTTATTGATTTTTTTTATTGATTTTCCTATTGAGTTTTTTATTGATATTTTTATTGATTTTGATGATCAAAAAGCATAGTGATAT